CACAAATTAGAAGCATTAAAAATATTCCTGGGGCCTACTAATCAAATCCTGATCTCAGCCATGAAGTGAATTCAAAGTAGAAACAAGTGTCGTCACCGACMGAAACCTCCTTCCCATGAAATTCATTTAGCAAATATTTATGGATACCATGTATGTGCGTGGCATTGCTCTAGGAACTAGAGATGTAGCAATCAACAAGGTCTCCCCCTTCAAGGAGCTTGCGTGCCAGGGAAAAAGACAAACCCCCAGATGAACCAAGAGATCTGTACTATGTGATSAGAGACTGACAAGTGCTATGAGGGAAATAAAGCAAAGGTAAGGGAGAGAGGAGAAGAGAAAACTTCCTTTCTAAAATAGCCTAAGGAGAGGAGGAAATATCTGAGTTACCAGAAAAGAGAAAGAGAGAAGCCACAGGAATGCCAGGAAGAGAAGGTTTCAAGCAAGAGACCACCAAGACTGGGGTGGGGGGACTCCCACATCTCCCCGAACCACTCCTCTGCTAGCTACTATCATTGTCTTCATGCCCCTTACTCCATGCCCACCCCAAAGTGAGAATAAACCAACACGATCCCATTTATAAAAGAGCCCATTTTGTTTTAATTGGGGTACAATACATTAGAAACCCTCTTAAGTGGTGTAAATCAGATCCAATAWTGATTAGCTAAATAATTTTTTAACTTGGAAAATAATTAAACAATTGTGTATAGACACATATAAAATGTACACTTTTATGTATATGCATAAGTACATACAATATGTATACATACTAGTTATATGTATACTAGTTATATATATATATATACATAACTATATATACATAACTATATATATATACACACACACACATACACGTTTATACACATACATATTTATACATTTTGCATCTTTTCTTTTCACTTAAAACAAAGGGATGGACATCCATTCACAACCTTTTTGGTGTTAAGTGCACAACACACACACACAGATTCCCATTATGTTATTTTTAAATATAATGATAAGAGTCATCTTTCAAAGAGAACAATCTTCATTTAACAGGCAAATGTCCTACAATGTCACATTGCTCCCATCATTTGCCATTAGGGCTCTAAGAACAGGTCATTATGATGCCAGTAMGTTAATTTCAGTCAAAGTTCAATTAACAATTCAGTTCTTTGATCTGTTTTTGATAATCACCCTCACAACCAAATGATGGTTAACTACACTGACTAGAAAATATTAGCATAAAGTAACCACCTTCCAAAAATCAAAGTCAAAATCTACATGTGCAAGAGAACATTTGGGTAAAGTGAACTACAAAAGAAATCATTTTGCTCTTTATAGACTTTATAGTTTTCCCCTATTCAAAATTATCCTGTATCCCTTAAGAGATGATAAAACAAACAACCGGCCTTCTAGTAAAAGATAGCTGAAGTTTAACAGTTCACAGGTCTACAGTTGCTGATTTAGGAAACATTAAAAATTATCATCGGTWTCAGTATTTGCTTAACTCCTACCTACAAAACTCAGAATCCATATTCTGGTCAATCATTTCCAATCTCTTGACATTAATACAACTTAAGTTACGTCAATCAGTCAACAAGTATTTAATGTTCTGCTAAATTGTTGAAATACACATAGCAATAATAATAAATCGTTTTAGTGTTATGTGTTCTAGAAACATAGTATTTAAAAGAACCATTACATGTATAAAGACAGAAACAAAGAATATTAAGAAAATGTTCCTTGAAGGTGCTGGTAAATATTCCCCCATAAAACAGAAACATCAAAAGAATGTCTAAAATGCGGTTGTGGCTCAGTGGTAGAGCACTTGCCTAGCACATGTGAGGTATTGGGTTCCATTCTCAGCACCACAKAAAAATAAATAAATAAAATAAAGGTATTGTGTCCATCTACAGCTAAAAGAAATACTTTAAAAAAAAAAGAACATCTTTAAGATCATTTACCAAGAAAAAAATAATTTGCCTRTGAACCACACAAGATAATTTTAAAATTGCTTTTGACTCTCAAAAAGTTTGAAGTTAACTTGTTTCTACCTGGCACTATAAGTTAAATGGCTATTGTAGTTTCTTGCATTTTTCAGTTAGGACTGTAACAGAGTATACAACACAGAGAAATTTAAGATAAACAACAGACTTTAGGTAATAATAACGTATCAGCATTAGCTTATCAGTTTGTATTAAGTGTGCCCCACCAATGCACAATGTTAACAATAAGGGTCACTGCATGCAGAGAGGGGGTTATAGGTTAACAGTGCACCCACTCATTTTTCTACAAACCAAAACTACTCAAAAATATTAAAGCCTATTATAAAAAGAATTCAAATAAACATCACAATCATTTTACCCTTGTATTGGTTACATAAAATTCAATCTGTGAAACTAATATTCAAGATAAGTCTAAGCAATTTTAGAAATTATGCCACTATTAACTTTTGATACACTATATCCTGTCAAGCACAGACACAAATATCTGCACCTTTCTCACTTCCTCCTCTTAGTATATGCAACTTTATTTCAGAGTGAGGCTTGAATATGACAGTGAACACAGGTAAAATAATGCATTCAGATGTTCATTCAAGTCACAAATCCAATCACTCAAACTGATCAAACATAGAGAAAAGGCACATGCTGCAAAGTAGCTCATTGGCYGGAAAGTTGTCACCTATTAGAGTAATCTATGAGAATCTAAAAGCGTGGTTTTTACACGTGCTTTAAATAGTAAGAAGCATTTAAAACACAAAGTGGGCATGATGGGTGACTCCATCATTAACACCTGTGCAAATCCCCCTAGACATTTGAGGAAAAAGAAAAATGCTTCAACTGAGATATCAGTGGTGGGTAATCTGGCGTTTTCAAGCCTGAGTTTCTCCCAAGGGTCACATTTACACCTGCATGATGACCTTTACTGAATCCCTAAGGCACTTGTGTTCAGATCACCAAACTTACAAATTTCTTATTCAGAAATTACCATGAAGATCTGTCTTCATGAAAGGAGCAAAGAATGCAAAGGATCCTTGAGACAATTCAAAATACCAAACCATTAAGGAGTACCTATGGTATACCTATCACACATCTACCACAGAAATAATTTCACACTTAAAAGCATTTTAGAAGTATTGACAGTGGTGTCATAGATGTATCAATAACTCAAACAGACAGCAGAGCTCAGAAAATTGTTTCATAAAAATGAAATTGTTTCCATTAGAAAATACACCCAAAATATAAATTAAATCATAATGTCTATTCCAACAATGAAGGAAACCAAAATATCAGGAAAGGAAATTAGAGAAAAGAATAAATTCAACATATTCAAGGCAAGAGAATAAAATTTTACTTTCTTAAGTCGATCACTCCTATTTCTCAAAGTCAAAAGCCAGAACTAAACAGAATTTTTAAGATGCTCAGAACAAATAATACAAAACAAATGATAACTTCCATTATCCGAATTGTCTCATTTAATGCACTACCTCATTGCTTTAAGGTTTCCTCCAAAGCTATGACTGTTTTGAAAGTTTCTGTAATATTTTTGAACACTTCCTTTCTGTCTTCATATTCTCTTCACAACCCAAAAATCAATTTTAATTCACTCAGACTCCCTTATTATTTTTAAAAGATACTTTATTTCAAGATTTAATTTAGAAAATGAAGAAGAATCATTCCCCTCATGAAATTCTGTTAGTCAAGCAGCATAAATTAAGATCCCCAAAAGGACCACTGACGTGGTTCCAAATGTTGTTAAAACTGATCTTTGTTATTCAATTCAAACAACTATGCTATAAACATGGATCAATCAAACAACTGTACCATAAGCATAGATTGCTAATCCCTAACTTCAGTCTCACCTCTCCTTTTGCCTCACTGACACCTTTTTCTAACCTGTATTATTGTCTCTGGATGCCAGCCCACTTCTTAATTTTTGCAGAGGAAGTAATGAAAATAATCTTTGCTGTCACTTGCTCCCTACAGAAAGATTTTTTTTTTTCTTTCATGGCATGCTGTCACTCTTTCCATCATAAAGTCAAATGATGGGAGGAGTTAAATTTATATTATTTTTCATAAATGTTGTTTTGGTTTTCTTTTTCTTCTATCTAGAATGTCACATGAATGATTTGTGTTTGTTTCTAATCCCTAACATTAACCTTMATTTCCAAATTAAAATACCAAGCTATCATTCATATATACAAACACAGATATAAATTTATATCTGCTGGCTATTTAAAAAAAAAAGAAAATAAAGAAAAAGGGAAGAGTCTCTGGTCCTCCTGTCAATCATACTTTTCCCAGGCTATTAACATTGTTCCCAGGATTAGTGCACTAATGATTTCTACACTTCAATTATCCACACAGTTCACCTGAATAATTAACCATCTGAAATCACCATATTTTACAAGTTGAGACCTAGTCATTACGTGTGTAAAAGAATTCAGTAGCTACTAGGCTTTGTGTGCAAACTAAAAGCCTGGATTACTTTCTGTCAAAACTTACTGGATTCTGATCCAATGTTGTATTATAGTTGGCCATTTTTTTAGAAAGTAATCATATTTTAGTATATTAAAAATACATTATTTATGGGGGATGGGGTTGTGGTTCAGTGGTAGAGTGCTCACCTAGCATGCATGAAGCACTGAGTTTGATTCTCAGCACCACATAAATGTAAAATAAAGATAYTGTGTCCACCAAAAACTAAAAAATAAGTACTAAAAAAAATGCATTACTTCTGTAAAACTACTTTACTTTTACTATACTGCATTTAAACAGGTAACACCGTGGTTAGAATTGTTTAGCAACCCATTTCTTTCAAGTCAAAGCCTGTGAAAATAGAACCAAGTAGGTAATGCATAGCTTAATTCTAAGCCAGAGCTTGAGTGCTGAAATCAGTTTTGAGTACGAGGAAATGCTGGCATTTAAAAGACTGAAGTTCCACACTAGCAACTTTAATAAAGACAACAAACTTTATATCAAACATGGAAAACACAAACTTTCAAAACTTGAGGGTCTTACCAGAAATGGACTCCAGCAAATGCAGGAGACACACATTATAGCCAGGAGCTGGATGACCATTTCAAAATGATGAGACCTGCCTTGTCTGTGCTGTTGACTTTTAAATTTAACTCTTAAAAGTGTAATTCCTGTAATGGCATTGCACAAGAAGGAAACACCAAGGGCTAAGAGCCCCAGAAAAGAAAAAAGTAGAAGATAAAATCTATCTTCCCAGTCTTCGATGTGTTCAGTATTGTAGAAACACCAAGTCCTTGATGCTTGAATTTTATAGTCTCGATGCCCAAGAATAGGCAGCAAAGCTATAAAAACAGCGAACAAGCACACGCCGCTCAACATCATTTTCACATGTTTGGATGTAATTTTTGTAGAATGAAATATTGGTTTGGTGACTCCGATACACCTCTCAATCGCCATCACACTGCCTAGAAAAAGTGGGCACAAACCAGAGAATACCATGGAGATACCAAAAACACTGCAAAGAACATTCGATTGATCAAAGCGGATCCAGTCTTTATCAGATGCATACACAAATACTGCTATAGTTCCATTGATGAGATGACCAAAGAAGTCTGTGATTACCAGGCCACTGGCCAAAAGCAGAAATGATGCCTTGGACTTCTGTCTAAACCTCTGATATGCCTTCATGAGAATGGCAATGGCAAGGCTGTTTGACAAGATTCCCACTGTCATGAAGATTATTGAAAAAAACACTGAAAGCCGGTTTTCTGTCTGGCAGGTTGTATTTGAAAGGAGCCCAGCTGCAGGAGACACTAGTTGTTTGGAATTGTTCATGGACATTGTTGTGGAGATAACAGCTAGCTCCTCAAGTCATCTCTCTCTCAAAACTGTGCTGGTTTGCAGTCCAGACATCTGTAGCATAAGAGAGAGAGAGAGATTATAAATACCTAATTGCTGATCATCTGACCCTTAAAACCAAAGTACCCCAGCACCCTGTGGTGGGATTGGATTTGTCTGGCCTATCATAAGCAAGATTGCATCATACTGAAAGTAGCATCCATCTGTTTCTTTTTTCTTTTCAAGATAAAAAAAAAAAAGCCAAAATTGAGAGCTCTTGGTTAAATATCCTCCTGAGGCTTCACTAACACCTTAAAATTTTAAAGGTGTGCAAAATACTAACAAGAGTAGATTTAAAGCCAATAATTTTTTAAAGCATAACAATCTATTTAARTCATTTTTAAATTCCTGCTCCTTTCTCTGAAGGACTTTGTCCCCAAACTGCAGATTATCACCCAGGTGAACCACCTTGTTTGTCAGGCAGACATATCAATCTTCTCTAAAGTTTGGGAGGGGGACCAACAAGCTCATGTTAAATGGAGCACATAACACCAAACTACACACACACTGACTCTTGGAAGTCTGAGCGGTGAATCTCTGGGAAGGTTTTTCTGATCTAGTTACCACCTGTGCAGAAATCCTGGTTCCTGATGATGAAAGGGAAGGTCCGTGTTTGCTCTAGGCACAGCTGCCTAACTGCTGTTAAGTTACAGCTTCAGAGGAGCAACATCCAATGCGAATTATTTCTTTGTTGCTCTTCCCCCAAGGGGTTGAGTCCTGAGTCACAGACACTAGATACACACTACCACAACCACCCTGCCTGGAGTTGATTCCATCGRCGTTTCCCAAGTTGCTTTCCGGGAGGCTGGGAATTAGGAGGCCAGCCTTTCCTGGGACCGAAACAGCCCCAGTGGAGCCGGTTGGGCTGCCCAGAGGGCGGCTGCCTCCTCTAGATCTTACTCACAGTTCTACTTTCCCCGGTCTCCAACCCCGCAGCCCCCAGGCTTTTGCTTGCAACATCTTCCCTAAACCTACCAAGTTGCTGAAACTTTCTGCAGTTGCTCAAACGCCAGAAGATTGTTTTCCCTTCTACCCTGGGGGGCGCCAAAGGCTTACCAAACTTCTGAGCCAGCCCTGGTGAGGGTAAGAACTGTCGCCCGCAAAGAACCACAGGGAGAGAAGGGGATCTTCCCCTTTCCCTATTTCCCTCCTCTGAGACCCTTTCTACCTGGTCCCCATCCGCCCAGCTCACAATCGGGACCGGTCAGTCCAAATACCCTTCTTTCTTAGTCTCCGCAGTTTGGGGAATCTGATGCAAACTTGTTGCCAAGAGCAGTCTAAGGCGCCTTCCAGCGCAGCCGGCTGCATCCATCTCCCGGCGTCTTAGGGAGAGGCTGGGTTAAACCCAGGGCGGATTGAACATCCAGAGGCAGATGCGTGGGAAAGATGGGGTTACCTCGGTATTCTGGGCGGCCAGCAGGGCTATCGCGGGAGCCCCAGAGCGCTTAGCTCGGTGCGCCATGGTGAGTTCAGCCTCTCTCAGCCGCCGCCGCAGGTTCCAGGAGCACAGCGCGGCGCTCCTGCTCCAGCACCCGCTTGAGTCCCGCCGCTTGTACCCTCTGCGCGGTCAGTCCTCTCACCGGAGATTTGCTGGGCTGCGCTCAGCCCCTCTGATCCCGCAGCACCTAGCGACGCTCGAAGCCAGGGCAGGATGGAAGGCGAGGGTGACCTCCGCCCCTTCTTCTCTCTCTTCTCCGCCCCCTTTTCCTCCGAAGAGGGACAGGGAGAGACTAGGGCAGCGCGCTCAGATGCTAAGGCCACCCCATCAGCAGGAGAGCTGCCCTGTCAGCCGCTGGACGAGCTACAGAAAGTTTTATTTTAAACTCATTTTCAAAATAAAGGGGTCATTTTTGAGGATTCAAGAGAAGAATCTGGAGAGCTGAGGGAAGTCTAGAGGTCTGTCGGGCTGTCAGATGCAGCTTGCAGAGGAACTCCTTCCAAATCCAGCCCGAAAAGGTTAAAGAGAGCGGTTAGAAAGAGACTGCGTGTTTGCGGGAGAATATTGTATTAGATCTCCCCGGGGCAGTGAAAAACAGGTATTCCAGTCACGTGTTGTAAATGAAGACACAGCCCTAGAGTGTACCCCAGTCAGAGTACTGGACGTTTTTCCTGCTGTCTAAGGAATGAGAAGGGAAATGGGTGAGTGACCTTCAGTGATTATTAAAACCCACTGGTGAGAGAATTCCTAGTGATACGTATACCCCCCCCCCCAAAAAAAAAAAAAGATGTGCATCTAACAAATTTTGTGGAGGTCAGTTTATAATAAATAACATTATTTCATTAACATTATTTCATTCATTAACAATGATTATTTCTTTTGATTATATTACATTGTCTATATCTATTAACTGTCTCGTTTTTTTCCAGCTCAATGCTTAGGTGAATCTATGAGACTTTTGTTCTTTTTACTTTAGTAAAATGTCGCCACCACCTATGTGAAAAACCGGTGCCACATGGGAATAAATGCCATGGCTCTATTCTGGAATCAGAAGGAGCCTCTGAATTCCTGGAAATTGGAAAGGATCATAAAATGCAAAAGTGAGGTCAAATAAGTTAGCCATTAACTGTAGGAAAAAAATGGCTGCAGTTTTCCCCTGTGGTAGATATTGAGATTTTTTAAATTGATATGATCATAACTTGTAAAATAAACTGTTACTTAGACATGGCCAAAGAAGTGAATGTTTTGGTTAATTAAATATTCTGGTTAGTAGAGAAATATTATACCCAGATGGCCAGCACCCAAAGAACAACTGGGTAATAAGCCACACTGAAAATGTGAGCGACACAGAACACAGCTCTTTCCTTTAATAACATTTCATCACATTTCATTGCAATTATTGTTTTGCTTAYGTCTCTTCCACTGAAATGAATTCCTACAGGGGTCTCATTCATCTGTCTATCCTCACTTAGGATAAGGTGTGATCACTCAACAAATGTTGTTTAAATTAATAAATCCTACCAGTAAGCATTTCTGGGATTGTAGTCCTGCATCTTGAAACTCTCAAGCTTTCACTGGAGCACCCAACAACACTGCTTTAGCTACTGCATTAAAAAAGAAAAAAAAACCAATCTTATTAACTCAATGACAAATTAACATTAAGCTAGGTGCAGTGGTGCACACCTATAATCCCAGTGGCTCAGGAGGCTGAGGCAGGAAGATCATGAGTTCAAAGCCAACCTCAGCATAGCAAGGCAATAAGCAACTCAGGAAGACCTTGACTCTAAATAAAATAGAAAATAGGGAAGGGAAAATAGGCTCAGTGGTTGAGTGCCCCTGAGTTCAATCCTTATTACAAAAAAAAATCATAACATGAATTAYATATTTAAAATAATATTACTTTCTTTTTCAAAGTACTGCATAAATCACATTATATTTTAAAATCTACTTTGCATATGTTATTGGAATTCCTATTTTAGAATCCACTCTCTAATCAAGACATATTTCATCTGAGTATTAACAAAAGATCCTAAGCACCTACATGTCTTCTCCTTAAGACAGAAGGCATTACTATTAGTAGAGCAAGTTCCTAATCTGTAAGGAAGAATAAACAATTAACTACCTTCAAAGAAATAAAGAGAGAGAGAGAGAGACAGACAGACAGACAGACAGAGGTGTGTGTGTGTGTGTCTGGGCTTATGCCACCCAAATCTGATCCTCTAGTCATTGTCCCCAAAGATGGGACCTTAAGAACTGGTGAATCATCATCACATGAGGACAAATAACAAACCAAAAATCCATGGGAGGAGAGGCTCCTGAAAAGCAGTATAGTTTTATTACTATTTCTGAGAAGTGGCACTCTATTAAAACTAATCATTTCTGTATCCATTCAACAAGTTCACTGAGAACTTAGCTTTGTGTCAGAACTATTTCCTAGGCAGCAGAGATAACTTTTGTGTGAACAGAGACCACAGCCCCTGACCTGGCTTCTAGGCTAAGAGAACATATTTACTTTTGTGGCGTGCATGCTTAAAACCTTGATATAATTTTAGGTATCCAGGATTACCTTTGCACTAAATGGAGGCAAAGCTGATGCCAGTCTTTGTACAAGGCGATAATTTATGACAGGTGTGTGCTTGGCAATCGTGGTTCATGGTTAAATGTAGGACACTTTGCTCAGAAGTTGTGCATGCTATAAGTCAGAGAATAGAGATTCTGTGACATTGAAGTTGAAATAAAACTCCATAAAAAGCAAGGGGAGTGCTGGAAATTGGTTTTTGTAGTTTTAATAAAACTGTCTAGAAAAGCTTTATTGGAATTTGTCATCAAGATTAATAGTGGAAACATGCCCAGTTTAGTAGTAATGAAAATAACAACTTTTGTCTTTTTATTTTTGTTTGTAACTATTTGATACATAAAAATGTGTGTACAACATTTGCAAGTAGTTAATTATAAAAAATAAAATGAACCTATGACCCTAATACTCAATTAAGTAAGAGCTATATTGTTTCCTAGAGCTGCTGTAGAAAAGTACCACAAACTGGTAGCTGAAACAAAAGAAACTTATTGTCTTACAAATTTGGAAGTTAGAAGTCCAAAAACAAGATGTCAGCAAGGTTGGTTCCTTCTGAGAGCCATGGGGGAGAATCTGCTTTAGGCCATTTGCTTATTTCTGGTGATTAACTGGCAACCTGGGTCTTCCTTGCTTCTAGATGCATCACCCCAATTTCAACCTTCATTTTCACGTGCTATTCTCTCTGTAGAACCATTTTCATATGTCCATGTTCTTTGTAAAGACCTCAGTCCGTTTGGATTAGGAGCCCATCCTACTCCAATATTGCCTGATCTTAACTAATTACATCTGCAATGATCCTATTTACACAGAAGGCAACATTCTGAGATACTGGGGGTTAGAACTTCAACGTATCTTTTTTGAAGAAGACAGTTTAACCCATAACAAAGACTATGATAGAATATTGATAATGTTATATCTATCTATATGATTCTCCCTCTTTTCCACTTCTCTGTGTCCCTCCCCTAGCTAACCACTGTCCCAAATTTTTGTCATCCTTCTCTTGTGGTTTTATGTAGTTTAATCACATAAAGAGATGAGCAAATGTATTATTTAATTTTCCTTGTTTTGTAATGTAACCTTCTGCAACTTGCTTTTTCAGGCAAGACTTTTTTAAAGTTATGCATATTGATATATGCAGTAACAAATTATCCTTATATAAAGTTATGTAACACCTCAACATTTGGATATTCAAATTTTTGAAATATTATCTTTCCATAGCCATTGGGTTTATTTTCTCCAATTTTATGAAATATCCTACTATGARTAGTCTTGCACACATCACCTTGAATAGGACTTTCTCTTGGATATGTACCTAACGTGAAATTACTGAGTCATGAGGCATGAGAATGTCTGTTTGAGTTCGCCTTCATCCACATTCATGAAAAGCTTTGCTTTTGTCTAGCTTTTAATTTTAACCAGATGGTTGCAAAATAACATCCCATTGTGGACTTAAACTACATTTCCCTTTGTATTCATGTTTCTTCTCCTATGAGATGTCTGTTCATCTCTTTTGTCTAATTTTTATTGGGTTTTATTATTATTGATTATTCTTTGTTCTATATACTAACCTTCTAAAAGTTACATGTTTTGCAAATGTCTTTGTCTAAATCAGTTTTGCTTTTTATAACAAGTCAATTTTAATGCAACCAATTTAGATATTTTAAATAACACCTCTTGTATTTTAGCCTTTTTAGTGCTGCATTTTGAAAATGCTTCCATACCCTAAAGTATAAAGATGTTCTACTACATGTTTTCAAAATATTTTATCATTTTTTTCCGTTTATATTTAATCCTTAAACTTTCAAAAAATGTTTTTTGAATATGCTGTGAGGTTTTTTTCCTCCAAATGGATAACTAATTTTTGTGGTGCTATTATAAAATAATCTCTCTATTATGGTTCTAATTTTGTCCTCAAACATGTATATGTCAAACTGCTAATACCCAGTACCTCAGTAGCAAAGACAGAATCCTTAGAGGTAATCAAGTTAAAATGAGGTTGTTATGTGGGTCCTAATCCAAAATTGGTATCCTTACAAAAAGAAGATATTTGGAGGCAGATTATGCAAAAAGGGAAAACAAAAAGTGAACAAGAATGTGGCCATCTAGAAACCAAGAGAGATCTGGAACACATCCTTCTCTCACAGTCCACAGAAGGCACTAAACTGCCAACCCCTTAATTTCAGACTTCTAGAATCTGGACTGTAAGACTATAAATTTCTGTTGTTGAATCCACCCTTCTGGGACACTTTATTATTACAGCCCTGGCAAACTTACATACCCTGCCTTCCCCACTAATCTAGAACACATAACTTTCATGTATGAAATTCCCATATGTACATGGAAAATCACCATTTGTTGACTGTATACCCAACAATAAAACTACACTATATGCTTTAAATATTTAATCCTCTATAAAATTGTATGAAGTCCAAGTGGACATCATCCCTTACTCAAATTGTAG